ACATGTAGCTTTTAGAGGGTTTAAATATAGTGGTTATTTAAATTTGTTTGCGCAAGTAGATCTTTTTTGTTTTTAGGCATTGATTTGCCACATTAAGTACAATATTTAATTTTATTAGGTTTATATACAGTACTGTTTTATGCATTGATTAGCCATCGTAAAGTAGAGTTAATTTTTGACTGAAAATGTGAAGTTTATATACATTATCTGATGTCTGCTTTTCCTATGACAATGTTTGTTCATCTGAAATTGGTGTAGATGATTTTTTTTTCTTTAAAAATTGTTCTCTCATTGCTAATTTAATTACATAACAATATATTGCACTGTTGTCTTTACAAGGCAGTGATCATATGGTTAATCTTTTGTTGGTAAAATGGCCATGTATTAAGGATGTAACCAAAAAAAAGTATTCTTCTGTAATTTCATATGTATTCTTCTGTAATTTCATATGTATTCTTCTGTAATTTCATATGTATTCTTCTGTAATTTCATATGTATTCTTCTGTAATTTCACATGTCTTCTTCTGTAATTTCATATGTATTCTTCTGCAGTTTCCTTGGACACTCGACATGGAGCCATACACTGTGGAAGGGATGGCCAGACGAGAGAGTGAGCAAATGGAAAGGCGTAGTCTTTCAGACATTGACAGTCAGTCGACTAACAGCACAGAGGGAGAAGGAGCAGGTTCCGATTACCAGAACGGAGATGTGGACTCCTCAATAGAAGCTGCCTCCATCAATCCAGAGTCTAGTCCTATTCATTATGACTTAGTGGGGATTGTAGTTCACAGCGGTCAAGCTAATGCTGGACACTACTATTCTTTCATCAGGGATAGAAGGTAAATATACTGTTTAACAGTTACCCTCTTCATACCTTTTGCCGCATTTTAAATATAGGGCTAACACTGTATTTTAATATACCAATTCACCCTCATTGGGTGATTGGGTCTGCTTAGACTTCCCAAGACATTTCTTGATACCTCTTTTAGAATGTGTCTACCTGGGAGCCAATGTCAGTTGGCGGAGTTAAGGGGGGGGGGGGGCACCTTGATGCAGATTTGATCCCTTGACCTTTGGGCTTGCCGGTGAGCACAATATACTATTTTTGTAAAAAATTGTTAGCTGAGAAAAAAAAGAGCATATTATGGTGTAGTATTTTTTTCATATAGTTATGGTTAAAGTAAAAGTAAAGGAAATTGATATGCTCTGGTGCCTTGTTGTTAATTTTTGGAACCAATAAGCAGCACTCATGGGTAATGTGGTCAGCATTATGCCGACAGCTGTCACTTGGTTGAAATTTCCGGATACTTATTTTAGACTGCGATGACCCATAGTTAGTTATTAGAACCTGCAGGGTAAATGTTCAGGAATGCATACTGGGTATAGTTAGTTAGTATCGCAGATATTCCCCGAGCGGGTTCAGGGGTGTTCTGTTTTTGGGAAAGAAAGAATACACCCACTGCCCCACAACAAGCATGTCATAAAAGACAACTATTCACTTTTGATCATTAATTGTGATCATCTCTTCAACTCGCTGCCCTCTATAACCTAGACTAGAACACTAATCTGTGTTTCTTTTTTTCTTGTGAGAGAATCAACTTCATTGCACTGGGTTTTATATCATGTGGCTCAGTTTCTCTCAGCAGAATGGCTAGTCGCCTACCGAGAGGGTTACACAAAGCACAAACTCCGTAGCTTCGACAACTATCCCTGTGGATATCTATAAAATTTGCACTCATAAACTGAACGCCATCGATGTGAAATGAACCCACGAGCATGAGGAAAACACATTAACCACTTTGCCGCAGACACTTCAAAAATGCCTTGAAAATGCCCCCCCCCCCCCCAATACCTTGAAAATGCCAAATATATGTTGAAAACCCCTGGGAAAATGTTGGTTAATTTAGCTTTCAACCCTAATATTAACCAGTGAGCTATAGTGAGTCCCCTACTTACATGTTTTTGCAGTATTGTTTTTAACAAACTGATATATATAAATTTTCTGTACACAGAGGCACAGTGTTAACCAACCCAAACAAAGGGAAATGGTTCAAGTTCAATGACACGGTGGTGGAGGAATTTGATTTGAATGATGGCAGTGTGGAACAGGAGTGCTTTGGAGGAACTTACAAGGCCAAAGTCTATGATTCATGTAAGTAGTATTTTATGATAGTAATGTGCTCACATGGCCTAATTAATGTGGGTATCAAGTCGGCATCTATGGCTTGGGCATTGCATACATTGTTTGTAGTTCTGAGATACCCGGTTTGATTCTAGCTGTGTGCGATTTGGCAGCAGACCACTGTGCGTTAATTTTGACAATAGTATTGAGAGGCAACTGTTCTGTTAGCAGTGGCTGACTACTGAACCTAAAATTGTCTTAAAAAATAATCACAAACAACCGGAACATGCTGGGGTTGGTTGTGAACATCATATAATGTTATTCATGTCGGTGGTAAAAATAAGGGTACCTTTTCTTAACCATTGGCCCATCGGGCAAATTATGCTAGACTCATGATTGTATAGACCAATTGACCGTCAGTAAGGGATGTGGTCAACATCTTGTCAGCTGCCTTTACTTCCCAGGAGTTTACCTGGTACGCATTTTTGGCTGGGAGCCTGTTTTAATTTAATTATATTATAAAGCTAATTTCATGTTTATTCTTCTTCTTTGTTCACCCTTAAAAGTACAGCTGGCATGTTGTTTATGGTTTACAAGTAGGCTGCGATATCTGCACTCTACGGCCCAGCGCATCCTATTTCAGAAAGACTAATTTTTTATGATATGCTAGAATGGGCTGGATCTGTCCTCCTCCACCACCCAAATGGGGACCCAGCATTCACATGGGATCATGTTTTATTTATATTTGTATCATTTTTATTGTTTAGCTCTGTTTTTTCAGTTAAGAGACTCTGTTCTGTTATGTAAATGTGCATTATGTAATATGGGCACCTCTGTTATTAATACATTCACTGACTGTTTGCTCTCAGCTAACACATACCCAGAGGAGAGGCTCAGGTACTGGAATGGGTATTTGTTGTTTTATGAAAGAAGTCAAGACCTGCGCTCCCCTGTCACAGCCAAGAGAAGCAAGATCATCTCCAGGAGGGTTCTGCCTGTTGGAGGGTGAGAAATGTCTTGTTACCTTGTAGACCTGGTCACATTGGAAACAGTATTGGTAAAATGGTTAGTGTAACTGGGTTTGATTCTTCACTTATCGATGCTTGTGTAAAATAGAGAGAATTTATTGGTATGATTCTTCTTCATCTTCCTCTTCCTTTACCTCCTCTCCCGCCCCCCATTCTTCTTCATCTTCCTCTTCCTTTACCTCCTCTCCCGCCCCCCATTCTTCTTCATCTTCCTCTTCCTTTACCTCCTCTCCCGCCCCCCATTCTTCTTCAATATTTGCCTTTAAAAATGCGAATATAGGGGAATACAGTATGATAAACATCACTATTGCGAAGAACTAAACAGTTTGTTTGAGAACTAAACAAACCAATGATTGGTGATACAGAAATGCTAGTGTCGAATAAGACATACACAGAAAAAACTGATAATACTTGAATATCTTTGCACTGGAACCCACAGCTCAAAGGAAATAAAGAGCAATAAAAAGATACAATGAGAAAGAAGTAGAGACTGAGTTGAATAAGGTGGGAAGGACGTCGGGTAGGGCAAAAGAAAGGACAGCAAGGCACGAGTTGGTTGAGGGTTTATGTTTCATTGGGGGATAAAGTGCAGAGAAGGCGCAAGACTGGTCAAGACCCACCCACACCTCTCCGAAGTCATTCTAAAAATAGCTTCCGAAATGGGGTCTGGCCAACTTAGATAGGATCAGTGTTTCCTTCAGAGTTAGAGAGTATCTGCTTTGGGCAAGGAACCAACAGTCAGTGTTCAAATAAGTCAGATCTGTAAAAATGAATGTGCATGCAAAACTCAAGTTTAGGAACAAGACCAAAGTTCAAAAGTGGACTGACAACCAGGACTGTTTGCCAAAGTTTTCAGCTGCCTGACACTAAGAAGAAGTGAAACACCTATGAACTGGCTGGGATTCTTCTTCTTCTTCACTTCCTCTTTTACCGCTGTGGGTGTCGAGGGAGATATAAGGTTCTGTTTCTAGCTCTTCTGGCCGCCTTGACCATAGGCACATCATGCTGTTGTAGAGTTTCTCTGATGTTATCCTTCCATCTTGTTCTTGGTCTACCTCATGCTCTAGGTCCTTCTTCTCTTTCCATGTATGCTTTGTATGGTATGGTGTCACAAGGCATTCTCTCTAATTGGGCAAACCATTTCACTTGCTGTCTTCGTATGTAATCCAGAATTGGTTCTGTGCCAACTTTTTCTCTTATGATCTCATTCCTGATCTTATCTCTTATGGTCACTCCAACAGCCCTTCCCACTGGCTGGGATTAAGCTTACATTTTTATTTTATTTTTGAATGAGTTTATTCTATGTAATGGATGAGTCTGGGAGCTGCATTAGTGCAGTCAATAGGAGACTCGCTTTCAAATTCAGCTGTGACTCACTGCAGCTCATGGCGGGTGTTCAAAACCGGGCAGTTTCTGGGGTTCACCCAGTCTCTAGGTAATGGGTACCAGAGTTACTCTGGGGTAAGCGGAGGAACAACACTGTAGCTACGGAGTTGCGTGCAGACGGCGACACAGGCAGACAGTTTCTTATCAACTGTCCGTACTGGTGGCAGAGCACTTATGGTTTATAACCGTGTGCAATGACGCTGGTTCACATCTCCTGACTTTACCTTTACCTTTAACAGATGAGTCTGTAGACACAGCTGTGTGGTTTCTGTATTGTACATGTACTTTACATATGTTGCTTTTTGTACATGAGTGTGTTTTAGCATTCTTTACAGAGCAGAGTTTCTCTACAGGTTTGCAGGCACTTTATTGTCAACAGACTCAAACCTAATTCTCAGTTTTTGATCAGTAAAACTCAAGTTTACTTTCAGAAAGTTATCACAGAAATACTGTTTTGTTTCCAGTAAACGGAGTCTTAACAGCGATAGCCTCATGGAGCTGACAGAGCTGGTTCACAAGGGAGAGAGGAAAGGTATCTTCATGGACCGCATGCCTTCGGGGATACAGCAGGTCATCCATGCAGAGAACATTACTTTTGTTAAAAACAGAGACATTTATAGTCCTGAATATTTCACATTCATTCGACATCTGGCTGCAAAGAACAAGGTACTGTTCTCCCATTTTTATGTTTTTGTGTGACAAGGTACTGTTTCTTTATTTTAACAGATTTATGGTATAGGCTTTTGATTTTGTATTTTATCATTCTCATAGAATTAGGTACTGTTTTCCAACTTTAAAATGATATGTAGTTATAAGGTAGTGTTTTCTTATTTTAATGTGATTTTTTTTATAAAGTGTTGTTTCCCAATTTGAACATGTTTATGAAATAGCTGCTAATTTTTTTTTCATTTTTAGATATTCATATAATAAGATACTGTTTTCTCATTTTAAAGTTTTTTTTCTTTTTTCTTTTTTTGTGTTCACTGGGTGTAAACTCAGGTGGAAAGTTCTGGTTGTTCATCCACTTCTGGACTTTTAGACTTTTTTCCAGAACCTGAGTGTTGCGCGTGCATCCATTCTACAGATATCCCTCATTTGCACGCAGCTGTTGGTTCCTTGCCTCAATGGCAGGGGCGCTCCGACTTCGAAGGAAGCTCCCAGTTAGTCGACTCTTACAACATGCTTTTGGGTAGGCTCCGGAACCCACACCGCGATTAAATGTGTTTGTTTTGAAAATAGTAGTTTTCCTATTTCTCCTGTTTGTGGCATTTTCTATTGTAACATGTTGTGGAGGAATTTAGTTTTTCCATTGCCACAAATTACTGGAATAAAGTGCTGTGTGTAATAAATTACTGCTTGCTCATATTATCATGAAGAATACGCAGGCCTTTTGATTAGAAAACAATAATGGGACTTACCACAAAAAGTGACTAAAAGGTTGTCAATATTCACACTACAAATCATCTGCTACTTCTTCTTCTTCTTCGTGTTCACTGATTGTAAACACCAATGAAAAGTCCTGGTTGTTTGTCAGCCTATGGATTTTAGTATTTTTCGAGAACCTGAGTGTTGCATGTGCATCCATTTTTACAAATTTGACTTATTTGAACACTTGACTGTTGGCTCCTTGCCTTTCAGGCAGATGCATTCTGACTTGGAAAGAAGCCCCCTGTTAGTCATGTTTGTTGGGAGGTTGTGGAGGTATTCTTTTTCCCCCCACAATGAGGCCTGTAACTCACATGGGCAGTCTACAATGCTGAAACAAAATGATGCCTAAAATGGTGCTGGTACTGTGTACCACCTGGAAAAAAAAAAAAACCATGAGAATATACACCGAATATTCAGTGAATGCCATACCTTGAGACCACTCAGCCCCTCAGTGAAGGCTGGGATTATTTCATGTTGACTTTTAGTAACTTTCCCTGGTCTTTTGGGTAGTAAGACCAGACGCCCGTGTGTATTGTTGCGTACATAAAAAATACCTTGGCAGTTGGAAATCATAAAAGAGTAGCCTAACAGCGCTGCCCAGGCAACATTTTGAGTTGAAAATCTACCCAAATTATTTCAGGATCCTCACCGGTGCAACGGAGTTAATGCATTGGGCTAAGATTCTTCAGACTCAGGCTGGAATTAGAAGTAAAACAGAGCACTTATGGGTTACACCCGTGTGCCATGATGTTGATCCGTTGAATAAACAAACAGACAAACTGTATGTGATCTTGTGTTTTTCTTCACAGCTCTACAAGGATGATGCAGAGTATGAGGAGATGTGCATCCAGTCTATGCAACTTGGTGTTTGGTTTCTATTTAACACATACTTGCGCACAAGATTAAAAACACAGTGAGTTACCACATAGTTTTTTTTCTGGTACACCGAAACAACTTTAACCCCTTCTTTCATCCCTAGAAATTTAAATCTAGTCACTCCCGGTTCTGTGTAAATATCACTTTTCTGACTTATATGTAATGACCTGTTTACAAGACACATAGTTAATGCTATTGGTGGTTTTTTTCACCTTTGCAAATGCTTAGAAGGTCATGACTTTGACTGTATTAACTGAAGATAGCATTAAAGGGGGTTTTACTTTGAGTCAAGTACCTTTTTTAAAGCCAAGTTTATGGCAACCGTTCCCGTAGCCTCAATGATAGAGGTCATGAGGTCGCGGTATGGGTCACCCTATACAAATGTTTAGTCATGTCCTGGAGATGTATTCTTTTTTAATGCAAGCCTTCTTCTTGTTTATTTAAAATTCACTTCATGTGTCTTTAAATATTTCAAAGAAAAAACATAGATATACACATTTTTAAATTAATTTATTAGGGACTTATGTAAAAATTTTTATTTTAGGATTTTTTAAATGGAAGTCCATTTTTTGTATGTTGATGGGGCAAAAGGGTTACACTCATGTGATTTTAGGCAGATTTAAATTCTATAATTGTCTCTTGTTATATAGTTGTTGTCCACACCAGATGTCTCACACTGTAGAGAAGTTTTGCTACTGATAACTTTCTGTCCCACTCCATCAGTTCACCTTGCACTTGTTACTCAAACATCTACATTTAAAAAGAACCCATTTGATCAATGCTGTCATAATGAGGGTAATACTTGATGTATCCCATGGGATTTATCCTGTTGGAGTGACATCCTAAATATGTCTCTTCGAGTCGCTGTTGTGTCACAATTTCAGTTAGCTGTCTGATGGGGAATACACCCTTTCCAAGAGACCTCGTTACCTTCACCAGTGTAACATTTAACAAAGACAGTTGACAGTAGTTCCTCATGTACTGCACATCACATTTTTGATGTGGAAATTCTTCTTCATTTTAATCTTCTTCTTCTTCGCGTTCACCAGCTGTAAACTCTGGCAGAAAGTTCTGGTTGTTCATCCACTTCTAGACTGCAGTCCTGTTCCAGAACCTGAGTGTTGCATGTGCATCCATTTTACAGATCTGACTCATTTGTATGCAGACTGCTGGTTCTTTGCCTTTCAGGCAGATGCACTCCGACTTTGAAGGAAGCTCCCAATTAGGCTACTCTTACGACATGCTTTTGGGGTAGGCAGTGGGTCTATTCTTGTTTTTCCCTATAACACGGGGACTTCATTTTAATTTTATTAGTACTGGAAAGAGGAGAGGCTGGCTGAATTGTCAGAACAAAAGGCTTGCATGCTGAACCTTGGTAAGGTGTGGTCATGTTTTTCTTAGGTCAGGGGCAAAAAATAAGCATTCTAGCCTGCACAGTTTGTGGCGACTAAATGCAGCCTAAATCTTGAGGCTTAAGACCCCACTGTCCTACACTGCCCTAAAAAGTGGTAATAAGGGCAGAAAAGACAGTGTATGTGTGTACAGACACACACCTGAACACACAGTATGTGTCTATGTATATGTGCGTGTGTGTGCATGTGTGCGTGACTAACATATTTATAGCAGTACATCACAAACTAAATTGGCAGTTACTGAAATTGGTGGAAGTTGTTTCAGTTTAGATGGACAGTCCTGTGTTGTCAGACAAAAGGATCATGTTGTAAATCTCAGACTTCCATTGTAATCAAAGGATTTTTGAATTTCTGTTACAGTGTAATGTCATGAATGTGTTTCATTGTATGTTGATGTATCTTCTACAGTAATGCACCTTACGAGCTAACAGCAAAATATGCCAGGTAATATATGTATTGTTTGCTTTTTAATTTTCAGGACAGAGCTGGATGAGTGGGTTTCTTTGCTGGACACACTGATGTTTTCCTGCAAAGCTGCAAGTACCTGGTTCATTGACTATTTGGCCAGTTCAGAAGGCGGTCAGATTATTAGGTATGGTTGCTTTTAAACGATCAGTTTTAAATTTTTCTTGTCAGACAAAATGGAGTTGTATTGGTTTATATAGCAAAGCTGCGATATTATTGCCTTTTGGCCAACACATCTGACTTCATTGAGGTATTTTTGATCAGGCTAGCGATCAGTTATAATTTGGATACATATGATTCATTATAAATAACAGAAATTATAGAAGAGGTTATGGGAAAAAATAAAGAGATATAATAAAGTAAATTGTTAAATTCATTGAGAATCAAAGATGGAAATGGTTCAGCCAACTAATGAGAATGAACCAAAAGATGCCTACAGCGAGAGCATACAACATGAAATTGGAAACACCAAGATGCAGATTGAGACCTAGAAGATGATGGATTGCAGGAGTCACTAATAACCTAAGACTTTATAGCAAACCAAGCAACAGAGCTTGCCACAACTCGGCTGTGATCATCTGTTACACTGCGACACCGAGCAGATATTGACAAAGAAAGAATTAAATAGTTGTCATTTTATGTAGTTTCTAACATCTTGTGGCTTAGAGGTTGGCGAACGCTGTTAATTTCATCATCCTCGAGTATTGTGGTTTGTTCCACGCAGTAGATGGTTAAAAAAATGTTTTTTATGGTTTTTGGACAATGGTATGAGAGTTGCACCGTGAAGATATTGGGGCCTCACTAGGTAATATTCTTAAAGAGAGAAGTGGTACTTACTGCGCTGTAGCTTACATTTATTGTGGGGACAACACAGAAATTAAATAATCATTGTGTTATTATATGCTGATGAAGGCTCTTTGTCTGCAGCGTCTATTTTTTCATTATATTGTGTCTGTTTTTGTGTGTGTGGGGGTGAAGCTGATGTTTTGCTTTCCGTTTTAGGAGTTATTTTGTCCAGAATAAATTTTTTTTGTTAGAATTGTTTCCTCATGATTTGAGATTTTTCTGATCTTTTTTTTTGGATAAATTTATGTGGTTACTCTCATGTACCGGTAACAGCAAAAGGAAATTGACATCTCATATTAGACTGTTGTCTTCAGAAAGACAAGTTGGAACATGAGATTTTTGTATGCCAAGGCTTTTTTATAATCCTTAGAAAGATAATTTAAGTGTCCAGTGCATTTGTAATTGGGAGACATGGTAGCACATAGGTTAAATGCTTGTTAAATTGTTGCTTGCAGCTCTAAAGTTGTTTGGGTTCAGATCCACACATACACCCCTCACACTTAGGCCTCCCCTTTCCTCCCTCCTCTGGCAAATTTGTTTTCTCTATAAACTATAAGTAGTAGTTATTCTCTGCTCTTAATATAATATTAGTAGTGCTTGTTGTGAAATAGGATGCATGATCTCAGTTCATATTTTTTC